CGGTTCCTCTGGGGTGTAGCGCGCGTGTGAAGTGAGCGGAAGCCACAGCACAACGCGCGCCCGACCCTCGCGCAGAGCATGCTCGCCGGCATGCCGCCCATCATCCCTGGCGGCAAGATCGACCCGGCCATGCTGCCCACCAGCCTCGGCGTCACGCGCGAGCTCGAGCCGCACTACCGCAAGCTCAAGGCCGAGGAGGAGAAGCTGCGCCACGACCTCGACGCCAAGCAGGACAAGCTGAGGCAGGGCCTCGCCGTGTGGGACAGACTCGAGCTCGAGAGCAAGGCGTGGAAGACGAGGGTCGATTTCAACGAGCAGAGCATGATGGGTCTCACGGAGGGGCCAGCCTTTTAGGGGCTTTGCCTGGCTGTACCTCTCGTGCACTCGACCTCTGCCGTGCTGGACCCTCGCCTCCTCCGCCTCTGTTGGATGCCAGGCTGGCGGGGTTGTACGAAATTGATTCACTGGATGAAGCGCCAGAGTCGGACGGTTCTCGAGACGGAGATGATTCGCTTTGGTGTGGTTGGAAACCACAAGCCGAGGGACACTGTTTGTAGGACTAGATATGGACGGCTATCCACGCTGACGATACCCCAATGTTGGTTCGTTCTTTGTACAAATATCTCACGACTGTGTGCGTGGCCGTGTCAAAGTGTTGAGCTCTGGATCAACTTTCGTCAGGACAACCCTGGCATCGTTACGCGATGAGCATGAGCATCCAATGACTGGCGTCAGCTCGTACTTCTCACGTCACGAACCCTTCTTCTCTTCTTACACGTCGACATGCACCATTAGCATGCTTCATCCTGCCGTCGTTCACGGCAGGGTCAAGACACCACACTGCAACACATGAAAACAAACATCTCATGATGCCGAGGCTCAGGTTTCAAGCGCAAGGGCGGGTGCCACGGTTAGGTAGACTAGACGTGTTGGTCTAGACATAGACCGCGCACGATGCAAAACAGCAAAAGTGAAGGTCTCGTGCGAGATGCGTCAGGAATTGAGCCCAACGGGGGGCTCGAACCCCCAACCTTGAGATTAAGAGTCTCACGCTCTACCGATTGAGCTAGCCGGGCAGGCAGGTTGCTTGTTGTTACGACCCGACCCCGGAAGGGATCTCATGTTGCGTGTGTGCGTGGGGTTGGAGGGCGAACAGATTTTTTTTTTTTTTTGCCTAGCATCTTTCCGTCGCGGCGTATCCGGCGGGCTTGGGGGGCATCATGCCGGGGCTGGTTGGCGCGGCGGCGTCGTCTCTCGGCCCACTCGAACACGAGCCCACCCGCATCCGCGTGAGAAGAGTTCAACTGCGGTGAAAGTCATAACGGTACAGATACATGAGGACGTGGGACAAGAGGACCGCATTGTATAGATAGAATAAGAATTCATGTCGCGTTGCTTTTATGTGAGCAAACAGTCGCTTCTCAAAGCGTAGAACTTCTCCCTGCGACACTCGCAGTGCAAAAGTGCCTCCTCCTCCTGCTTCCTCCCCTCTCCGTATATACACCAAATCAGACGTCAAGTAACATTGAAAGTGTCCTGAAAACCACCTCCCAGCCACCTTGACGAGACCCTCAGATTGTAAAGAAAATAGTCGTGCGCCATGCGCTGTGTTATGTTCGTTTGAAAGGGAAAATTTGTAGACATTGGATGTGGTTGGTGGAGCCGCAATGGCGATATTAGTGAAAAATAAATTGAAAGTATTGCAAGCGTGTGACGCATGACCCGTGAGACCTCGAACGCCTTGTGTTCGATCGGCAAGACCGAAATGCCCGATGGGGGTGTGGAGGGGTATCTTCAGAAACAAATAGAAACCCAACAGGCGCGGTGTTGAGCGATCTCTTCTTTTCTAAAGGGTGAAACTAAAAGTTCTGCGAGATACCCGCACTCTGCTGCGGGTAGTGCGAGGGGCTTTCGATACGCGTGTTGCGTCGCGCCGGGTTGTCCTGAATGATGGGCTGTCCCGGCAGCTCGGAAGGGCGCCCGTCGCCGTTGTAAGCGTCCTGGCCGTAAGGGTTGCTCGATCCGTACTGGTCGTAGTAACCGTTGCCGCCGGCACCGCTGTACGCCATGCCGATACCTTCGGCCGCGCTCGAGCCGTCAGAACGGCCGGCAGCACTGTAAGAGGAAGAGGCATTAGACGGGCCGCGCTGAACACCGTTGGCGCGGTTCAAAGCAGCGGAAGGACCCATGGCGCCGAGAATCTCGCCATCACCACCGTACTGGTTCTCGTTGAGCAGGTGCTCGCCTGAACGTGTGTCAGAAATGTTGCCGTGGGTTTGCGAAGTGATATCCGAGTAAGCCTGACCTGTGTTGCCGCCAGACATGGTGGTCGACGCCTTGCGTCCGGTGGAGCCAGCGAGAGTAGTGGTGCCCCAGCCGCGGTAACCGGCTGATGAGGCATCCTCGCGCATCTCATACGAACCGTCGCCTCCGGCGCCACCCACAGCGGGGATCGTCGGATCAGCGTTCGGGTTATAGGCGTAATCCTCAACCTCCTTGCGTCGCTCCTCCTCAGCATCCTTCTTGGCCTTTCGCTTGCGCCAGAAGTAAAGACCAGCGAGAATGATGAGGGCGACAGCTACAATGGGCACGACAACGGCGACGGCGATCTTACCGCCGCTGCTAAGGCCACCACCACCGCCACCTCCAGGGCTGATGGGACCGGTGGTTCCTGTACTCGTCGCAGCAGTGCTCTCGCTGGTCGTCGACGCACGTGGGGCTGTCGTGGTAATAGTGCGAATGACAGTGCTGGTCTGGCCGCCAGGGTTGGTCACGACAGAAGACTCAACAGTGGTAATCTGCGTCGACGCGGGAGCCTGTTCAGAAGTGGTAGGCTGCGTCGTCGTCTCGGGAGCGGGGGGCGTCGAGCTTGTGCTAGGCTCGGGCGCCGGAGCAGGGGCGGAAGTCGACGTAGATGGCGCAGGGAGTGGAGGCTGTGATGTTGTCGATGTGGTTGCTGGGGCCGGAGGCGTCGAGGGGGAGGGCACTACAGCAGTAGGGCTGCTGGGCGCGGGAGCTGGAGATTCGCCGGCCGTGGTCGAAGGGGAAGTGGCGGGGTCGGCCGGGGTGGTGGTTGCGGCACCAGTGGGCGTGCTAACAATGGGCGAAGCCGCAGGAGAATCCGACGGCAGAACCGGGGATTGAGTGTTGTTGTCAGACATGATGGAGGCTCGTCGCGGTTTCGATGAACGATTCTTCTGCCGACGTTGGTCATGTTAGCCAATGTGTAACGTGGCGAGGTAGAGGCCAGTGGCGTGACCCAGATCAGACTTTTGTCTTTGGGATGACGATGCAGAGCAAACAAGGCCTCGATGTGGTTCAAGAACTGCAATGGCACGCTGCAGAGCAAGTTGGTCCGTCCCAAAAGGTCGAGACGCGGAGACAAGTATGGGCAAACAAGCATGAGGTGTGGCGTCGGAATAAATGAGGCAAGACAACGTACCGTGGATTTTCCCAATCACACTCAAAGCGGCCTTTTTACTTTCAATTCGATTAACGGTAGGTTACGATCCAAGACGCCGTGGCCAAGAATAGGTCGGTATCGTCAGAGGGCGGCAGGTCGGGGTAGTGTCTGAAGATGGGACCTCTCTCGACAGACGAAGGGCCGGTAGCAATTGTTGTGCAAAGTGCTAATGTCGCGCGACTACGTCTCGCACGTTCACTGGTCGACGAATGGCTGGCTCGGGTGTGCGTTGCTCGTCGGGCGCTGCGATCGGATTTGTAGATCGTGGATCAGAGTCGATGGGCACAGTGACGAGAGTAAAGGAAAAGAGAGAAAAAGTGAAGCACCAAAACGCGGCGAGGTGAGATGAGATGATTCGGGTTGGCTGTGACGGGGCACGGAATAGGAAGGCAGGAGAGGGAATTAAGGGACCCAGACTGGCAGTGGCAGGGGCAGTGGCAGTGACAGTGGTAGCGACGGCAGCGGCAGCAAGAAGCAGGAAGCAGAACCCCAAGCCAAGACACGAGACGCAGGACACAAGACACAAAGACGAAGGCGGCCGGGACGGACAGGGCAGGAGAGACCAGGCCATGCACCCACCCACCAGTGACGGAAAGCGGGCACCGTGTGGCGCTCCAAGTGCTCCAAGTGGAGGTGGCTCGGGCTCGGCTCCTCGGGCATTTACTGGACAAGGCCTCGCCGGGGTCCCAGTGTACACGGTAGCAGGGCAGCAGCAGGGCAGCAACAGGGCAGCTCGAGGGCAGCGCCAGGGCAGAGTCAGCCCCGACCCCCCCCCGAAGCAGCTCCAGGGCCTACCCCTTCCAGGTGGCACTGCCAACCTATTTCGTGCACAGCCCGTTTCCGGCCCAGGCACGAGAAACAACAGGAGGCCCACACTGTGTACATGGTATATGCCGTCGGAAACCTAAGGTGCTCAAAGGTTGGATTCGAAGCCTTTCACGCAAGAGGATCATCGTCACCACACGAGGGCCAATTCTCCATTCGCCTATGCTAGACTTGGCCTCGAATTCATGCCGAACTCTCCCTTCAAACCCACTGCGGACCGAGGACCACTCGCCGCCTGCAGAAACCCTTCACCGGCAGCCTGCGTCCGTGAGTGACCTGATATGCCTCATGGACGAGCCCGCTCCGGTGCAGCGAGGCGACATTGGGGGAAATTGCGTGCACCCATTCTGCCCTGTACCTGTCTTTGAGCGCACGGGCAATGACGACGAGGATGACCACTTCTCCGTCCCCGTTGGGCAGGCAGTCGAAAGACACTGAAAGAGAGAGAGAGAGAAAAATAAAAAAGACCCCTGCGCTATATCTATTCCCCCGAAACCCCCAGATGACAGAGGGCCGGGGTCGATATCCGCACGACTTCGGCCCTGCTCCTTTTCTCGCTGACCAACACGTCCTGTTATCCGCCTATGGCCGAGGCAGGAGCGTCGTCACGAGAACCGTCCCTGCTGTCTGTCCCGCCTGTCCAGAGGCTGAACTGACACATGGCATAGAATCGTAACTTGGCAGTCTCGATCCCAGCCGCGTCTCAATTAGGCCGAAGTGCTGGATTTGTCGAAGGAACACGCGCTACATTCCATTGGTGCATGCATCGAACGGCTATTTTTCTCTGTTGGCTGACCTCGTGTTGGTCGGCACCCGCATCTGCTGCACATGCACCTGGGCATGGGGCGTCGCTGAGTGCAGCTGTCCAGATTGAGATTAGTCGCCTCGATGTTCTTCACGCGTTCACAACTCAGACACATCGCCTTGGCAAGCCAATCCTGCACTGGGATCTTTTGCTTCAACGTACGTAGCATCAGGGTCGCTCAATAGCTCCAGCTTATTGCGCAAGCTATCAGGTTGTGCAATCGCTCTCCCGTCGCTGCGGAAACTATGGCGGCAGTTCGTAACCCAGATAGCGGTCTGTAGCCTGTCGATAACCGCTGTCAGTGCAGCGAGTCATACCTTTACCCTCTACGCCCGACCTACGCCGCACCGCGACCTAGCACCAGCGCCCCAACGCCGGAAATCCGACCACCTACAGCATACCTAGGTAATCAATCATGCCTCGCTGCCCAGGCCCGCAAACCAAGCAGCTCTGAAAACCCGTTGAATGCCTACAGACGAAATTTGCAGAGACCAACCGCTCTCCGAAACCCCTCCTATCAACCTCCCGCAGCATGCTCTTCTTCAGGCGGCAAGCTCGCAACTTCCCCCGCCCTCCCGCGTCCGATCCCCCTCGATCCGCACACGCCGCCGATCCCTCCAGCGCAGCGCCGCGTAGTCTCCTCTTGGCATCCGCTATCCGCCAAGACCTGTAACGGCAGTGGCAAACCAAGAAGATATTTTGCTCGTATTCCCAAAGGGCGCTCACTAAACCCTCACCGGCGAGCCTCGGGTCAAAGCCAGCCTCATCTGTAGCCTCTCTGGCTAGCTGGTCAGTAGCATTCGGGCCTGTAAGCAAAGGTCCCGAACATGAGGTCATCCCGAGAAGCACCACACGCATGACGATCCGCGATCCCGCATTGGAGCCCACATCCCACCAGATGACGTGCCTTCATCCGATCATGGAGAACGATTCGAAGGGAAAGGACGTACTTGAAACGGCCACAAACCGGTCTGTAGTACCACAGCAGGCTTGTCCTCATATCGGGCAGCCCAGAGCCTTTCTGATCAAGTGATCATTCCTAATCTTAATCTCAAGTTTTGGTCTTCACGAATACTGATTCGAAAGTGACGTGACATTCCTCAACGTTCGACTACAACAACTCCTGGACCAGCCGCAACAAACCTCAGCACTGGCCTGGGAAGAGAGAGGGGGGAGGCGGGCAGTGCCGGCAGTGCCCTTCCCAAGCGGTAACGCCGCCCGCCCGAACGTGTTGAGATACGAAAATAGCAGCCTCCCGCCCCTAAGAAAAGAGCCGGTCGCACTGGTTGGTTGGCCGCCGTCCTCTCGCAACGGGCATCAAAAGCCACCATCGATCTTAGCCTTCCACACAGCCAAAGCAAGCCTCGCTTGCGACTTCAGCTTCTCAACGTGGCTATTGTGTGGTGCCCACCACGCAGATCAGCCGCCAGTCACGCGTCCCGGATCTGCAAGGTACACAATCAAGACTCTTAGTGAAGCGCGTTACTGGGACAAGCAGCCATTCGAGCATTCCTCCTAAGCCTCATCAACACGCGATCTCACCAACATCACATGCCAAGCAAATCCAAGTTGCAAATGCAAGAAATTGTCAGTCACGCAAGCGCGTGTCTTGATTGTATTCGCCGTCTGTCTTTGTCTGATTTCGACAATTTAGGCCCCAGTCTATATGCAGAAAAGCCCGTGAGAGACCAAAAGCATCATCATCTCTGATCCGAATACTCCAATCACGGTAGGTGTGTGTATGTGATGTTTGTCTGTAGTGTGACCCAACCCGTAAGAAAATAAAAAGACATTACCAGGTATGTCGCTTGTGGTGAAAAAAGAGTGCGCCGCTGGACGACGAAGCGTCTTCCCATGCCGATGCAACAAAACACGCCCTCTCCTCGCAGAGTCAGAGTCATGTACGTAATTGAGAACAATGTGCCGATGCCGCTCGCTTCATGAACCGGCGCTGCCGGAGTATCAACCCATTGTGGAAGGCGGGGTGGGTAGGTCAGTCGCCTAGGTGCGCATGCCCCAAGAGGGTTTCAGCGTCGTCTCGAGACTGGCCTGCGTGAAGACTGTATCGCCTGGGAGACGACTGACGCGACCGGCGCCACTGCGGATGGCGTGGGCTTGAACGGCCGAGATGCCGCTGCGGTTGCTACGTATGCTGCCGGCGTCGCTCATGTTGTCCTCGTTTTGGAACTTGCGGGGAGGAGCGAAGTCAAGTGCTGTGAAGGTGCTCGACTTTCGGAGCAAGTGCGGGCTTGGAATCGCAGGCATCTCCTCAAAGCTGCTGACAAGAGGCGAGGCGATAGGCACCTTGGGCGCGAACGGCCGCCTTTCACCCGCCGGGCTTTGGGAGCGACCACGCTGGCGGTCTTCGTAGCTCTCTGGAGGCGCAAAGTCGATAGCACCCAACAAGGCCATGTTGTCGTCCCTCAGCTTCGAAGGGTTAGGTAGCATGGTCAGGGCCGTAGGAGGTGGGCCCTTGGGCTTGGGTTGCCGCTGGAACTTGTTGGATACGGATGAACCGGGTCGTGGTTGGCCATAGGCACTTGAGAGAGAGGACCCCGGGCGTGTAGGTGTTCCCCATCTGCCATTCGACATCGCTGTGCCGGCACGGGGCGGGCCTTGTTGCCTGCCGCGAGGCATGTTCATACCTCCAATAGACCCATGCATACCTCGAGGAGGAGGTCCTCGCAGGCGCGATCCGCTGGGTGGCGGCGTCATCGCGCGCCTTGTCACCGGTTGGGCATATGGCATGACAAAAGAATTGGAAGCCGGGTCGTAAAAGGCGTCGTTGCCACCGCCGTACCCAGCATCGTAATCCTCGTAGTACTGGGCACCACCTTGCTGGTGGTTAGGAGGAGGCATGTTGTGCTCGCCAGGGGGCTTGGAATCATCGAAATACTCCTTGTAAAAGGATCGGATTCTGTTCGCTCTCTCCTCCGGGTCCTCAGACTCCATAACCTCATTAGGTGGCAGAGGCCGCAACCCTACAGAAAGCCTCTTGTTGTCTTGCTGGGGAACACCAAGCCCGAGAGCCCGGGATTCGCGGAAGTTACCCTCCATGGAGCGCCTCTGCGTAGATCGACCGCGCTCCTCATACTGCTCATAGTCCGCATAATTCTGGGACTGCTGGCCGTGCGGGCCGTCGCGATCGTCGAAATCCATGGGACCGTCGGGCATGACGGCGGGAAGAACACCAGCTTGGTCTGTCTCGCGGGCGGCAGGGCTGGAAGGTAGACCGTTGAAAGTTTGAGGTGGGGCCTCGAAATTCATTTCGTGGAGACCCAGACCAACACCAATTTCCGGGAGCACGGGGGACTGGAGGGTCGGCGCCGCATTGTGGACTTGGTGAGCCGCGGGGTCAGGGAATTGCGCGGCTGGCTCGTTCCAGGACGACTGCGAAGCACCAGAGCTGACGCGTCGGGCGTCTCGTTGCGCTACCGGGGCCGGTTGGGTGACATCAGGGACATGAGGAAGGTTACGGTTGCTGTCGTCGAAGTCTTCAGCGTAGGAAACGGTTCCAATCTCGGGGATAATGGCATGAGGGAGGGAGCCACCAGTCGGTGAGATAGGAGATGTTTCAAGCTGCGGCGTTCTGGCTCCGGTGGGGGTTGCGAAAGGATCGGCAGTCAAGGGAGGAGGCTTCGGGAGCGAGTTTTGACGAGGCGGATGAGTACGGCTGTGAAGACTCGAGCCGCGCTCAGTTGATCCAGTGTACACTGATGAGCCGGCGCGTCCTTCCTTCTCAGGACGGAACGAGCGAATGGAACCGACTTCGCTGCCGTACTGGTTGACTGGTCGGTAGGGGTCGTCATCGTCGTGAAGGTTACGGGCGAGGGAGTGAAGGGACTGTTTGGAGCCCTGAAGCGCTGGTGGCAGAAGGTACGGGCTGGAGAGGTTCATGTCCATCGAGACCTGCGCGCGATGCTTGGGATCGAGGTTCAACATCTTCTCACGGAACACACTTTTCCGCTTACCGCCCCTGCCCATCTTGTCGTCGTTGATGCCAAAATCAAGACTCATCGTGGGGTCGCTGGCTTCTTCCATCCTCTGCTTCTTGATGCCTCGTCGGTGCAAGTAGTAGAGGATCGACATGATGGCAACAATGGGAATCCTACAGGATTGATTAGTTGTTTGCCATGGTGAGAGAACACGTTAGACATACACAACACTGAGAGCAATAATGAGCGTCTGAGGCTTGACAGCTGGCGCTTCACAGTCGGGGTGATCGGGATCACACTCCTTTCGGGCTGCAATGACTGGACCTGGAGACCTAAGTAGGGCAGCGTCTTCATGCGTAGGTTCCGCAGTTCGGACGTGTATCCGAGAACCCATCCGATAGCCATTTCCATTGAAGGCTGTGGCAGCCATGTTGATCGTCGTGATTCAAGGTTGGCGCAAACCTTTCACGTGTACCGTCCTAATTAGGTGCCAAGCAATCCGTCGTGAATATGTAAAAATGCCGGAGGAAATCGCAGACTGCATGTGTTTGTGTAAGGATCTTGTGAGATGTTTCGGGGTGTGCCGAGTCAAAATTGGGGATCTAATCGGAGTTCAAGTCGTGACTAGTTCTTCGAAAAAAAGCAGAACGATGCTGTGTGTGCCAGAGCGGGCGGGTAAAGAGTGTCGTCCGTAGGCTTGGGATGAACAAGTCTAATGGGGGTAAAATGAGTGTGGAGAGTTTGTCTTTCGAGGTTGGGACAAACAATAAAAGAGTGACGAGCCCGCTGGCAGGCAGATCCCGCAAAAGAGACAGACAGTCGGCAGTTGAAGGCTTGAGAGGAACTGACGATGAGGAGAGAGAAAGGAGAAAGAGGATTCGTGACCTCGAGGGACGGCCAGAATGGAGGTCGTCGGGAGAAGACCCACCAATTTGCCAACCCACCCATCTCACCCTCTCGTTCTCTTCCTTCCCCCAGGTCAGGTACGGGGCGGCGGCGGCGGAAGGAGAGCGAGGAAAACGACTGGGCAGGGGAGGCACGGCCAGACCCAGGGTAGCAGCCACTTGCCTGCCAACGAGGGCCAGCAAAACGGGGCCAAGAGCGCCAGGGAACGGAGCAACGTGTGGAATCGGCGAATGAGGCCTAATTTCGCCAAATGAATTAGGCGGGGCTCGCTGGGGTCCTTCGTCTGTTGTGCTTGTTTGCTTGCCGCCCCTTCACAAAACAGGCGTGCACAGCACTGAGAACCACCACTGACATGTCGAACCGACGCGCTAGCCCAGGCACCGTGCAGGGAGTCCTAGGATCTACAGGGGGTTAGTGCAAGCATTTGACGCAGGAACGCGCCCCGGCGTTGCGGGAAGGGGCGCACCTTCCCCTCGCCCTTGCCTGATTGAGAGGCCCCGATACGCGCCGTGCGAGCGAGCGTCGTTTCTCATCCCTTTCCTTGCCATCCTGCATTGCCTGCCCACCCAAGACCTACCGTCTCAACTTTGGCACTGTCTCCGTCTGAACGACGCCTTCCAGATAAGCAACGCCAGGGAACGTGGGAACAGCCCTGCACCCTTCATCCTAGGGAATCCTAAATCCAGGCTCCATTGCCAACAGGTCCGTCCCACTGGTGCAATCCACATGAAGAGCCCAGGCCTGGCCAACCCCTGAGCCCATGGCGACTTCTTCTACCACGATGTACTGCCGAAATGATGCGATCAGGAATCTGGGTTCAGGGGCGAGACCGAGCCGTCTTCGAATCGTGCGATGTCCTGTACAGGACGTTTTCTCTCTATTGTTGTGAAGCACCACAACAATAGGATAGCGGTGTACACGTACTGTACAATCGGGGCTTCTCCTTCTGCCGCCCCGTTTTGGTCTCGGACAGACACCATCTTGCTTGCTGCGTTGAGAGACACTCAGTGTCTTGTGCGACCGACCATCTCTCCCAGCCTATGTTCCCCCTTGTCAACTCAGACGGGATGGGTCTGTGTCTCTTGGTCTGGTCTCGTCTTGCTCATCATGTTCAGGATCTTTTCCGCTGCACTGCGCCAAGACTACTGCAAGGTTGCGAACGATGATTTTGCTGCAGAGAAGGAAAAGGCCTCGTTCCAAGGAAACGTCAACCCCAAATATGTATGTCATGTCTTCTCAGGGGCGGAATGCTAGATGTGGTGGCGTTGTACTCTCAAGTCAGGGAAATTGTGATGTCAGCAGCGGTCGCCTATTGGCCCGTGACTTGTGTCTAGATTGCGGCATCACCACCAATCATGCATCCCATCAGCATTCATGATTGTTTTTGTGCAAACTCGATGCCGCCTCCAACCCCATCACTCACAAAATGCTTGGAGTGCTTGTGACGTAGGACAGCATGCCCGCTTTCCTGTCTCGGAGGTCGCCACCCGCTCTGAACATGCCAGAGTCCATCAGGTCCTGCCAAGCTAGCATCGGAAGCCTCAGCATTACACCCTGTCTGCTGGTTTGGAAATCTTGTAGAAGTCGGGTGCGTACTCCAAGAGCCAGTTCCTTTCAATCTTGGTTATGTCACGGATGTAGACCTTGCTGCTAGTCTCTATAATCTCGTGATAGATGACCCAGTCCGCCTTGCGACTGAAAAGGAGTGATGTTGGATGCGCGTGCAGCGTCATGTCGCCGGCCACTTTTTGGAACGTTCCATCGGGACGCATCCTCGCCGCGTGGGCAAAATACCCACTCGTGAGACATCTTCGAATCTGCTCAGCTTTTTTCAACATGTCCTGCTGCGTCAGTTTCGTCCCAAGCGATTCGTCGACCGGTATGCCGAACCGCTCGATGTATCGCTTGAGCTGGGCCCGAACACTGACTGCCTTGGTCATCGTCTTGAAGTTGAGGTTGTGATCATGACAGAAGCGCGCCTCTTTCTTGCCTTTGGTGATAAAGGCGAGATAAACGTTGAGCAGCGTCAGGTGATCACCCTCTTCGACGGCAAATTTGCGTCTTGAACTTTCCATCCTTTTTCTCTCGCCGTCGTGGTAAAACCACACATTGCCAGCGACGCTGGTCATGGCAGCAATCGTGAGAATCTCACTTAAACAGCCGAAAGACTGTGCACTCAGCAACGTCTTGCCCATCATCGGCTCTACGGCAATCTCGGCCATTCTGTATCCCAACGGGCGGGTCAATTTGGCGTACTCGTCAAGTGCGCCGAGCGAATAGAGTAGCTCAAGGGCCTTTGCCATCAGTTTGGCTGGAGGCGCGCTGAGAAAGGGGAACCGCAGAATATTGTCGATGCCGAGGGCTTTCAGCTGCAGGATAAATGGCGCAAGGTTAGTCCTTTGGATTTCAGGAACATTTGCGTCAGCCAAGCTCTCCCATGTCTCCTCAGTGTAGAGCCTGAAGCATTTGCCAGCTCTCGTACGACCTGCTCGTCCTGCTCTCTGCATGGCTGATGCTTTGGATAGCGGAGTTGTAGTAAGCGAGTCGATGCCGAGGTCGGGGTCGTACGTCCTGAGCTTTACGAAACCACAGTCTACAACGTAGACGATGCCGTCAATCGTCACTGAAGCCTCCGCAATGTTCGTGGAGAAAACCACTTTTCTTTTGTTCTCCGGCGGTTTGTCGAAGATGAACATCTGCTGCTCGGTCGACAGCCCTGCATATAATGGTAGTGGTTCAAGAGTTCGTTCTTGAGGACCCATCTCAAGCAGTCGATCTGCGACAGCTTGGACGGCCCTATCAATTTCTTCACGGCCAGTCAGAAAGACCAGGATATCGCCATCGGCCTCCTTCGTATGAATGTCCAGAACAGTAGTTATGGCCCTCTCGAAGTAGTCTTCGGTTGGCTCTTCGAGATATAGGATATCGATCGGAAAGGCCCGGCCCTCGATGTTGACGACTGTTGCTGGTGATTCTGGAATTTGTGGTTCGGGCGCTCCAGAGTCCGGCGCAGGTGTAAAGTATTTGAGGAAGGCGTCTGCTTGTAGTGTCGCGCTGCTGATAATTAAGCGGAGTTCAGGACGCTTCCTCATGATCTTTTTCAACAGGCCTAACAAGATATCTGTGCTGATGGACCTTTCGTGCGCCTCGTCTACCATGATGACCGAGTACCGCGAGAGAAGAGGATCGACAAGAGCCTCTCTGATCAGGAGGCCGTCGGTCAAAAATTTGATTCGTGTGGATGACGACGTGACATCTTCAAACCGAATTGAGTAGCCGACTTCCTTTCCAACCTCGCAGCCGACTTCCTCAGCGACTCGCAGGGCGACCGTCGTTGCTGCGACTCGACGTGGCTGTGAAAATGTTAGACCTCGTCAACAAAAGGGTATCTCATGAATAGACGGACCTGTGTTACGCCGATGACCTTGCCGCCGTCCGCCCATCCCGACGCTTCCAAAAATTGGGGGATTTGGGTGGTCTTGCCTGAGCCCGTCTGGCCGACAATGATGGTAACAGGTTTGGTTTCGATGAGATAAAGCAAGCCTTCACGGTGCTTGGCAATTGGAAGAAGGGCAGCAGGTTTGTGAAGTGCGGGTATGAAAGCCGAGTTTACGTCGAAGTCTGCCATGGTTACCGGTGGTGCGCCTTTAACGATTGTCGGCAAAGAAAGATCCACTGATCAACAGGTCGAGATGCCTCAGAGGCCAGTCTCACAGTTCTGGATTTTGGACATCCGAAGGCATATTACCAACGTTGCTGCTATTCTCACCAGCCTTGACTGCAAGACAGACTGGCTTGCGAGGTGTGAGAGGAACCAACTGGTAGCAGTAGGTGACAGCTGTGATCTTGTTATTCGCCCGGTGATGTGGCCGATGTGACAGACACAGGCAAACGGTCCGATGTGGCGCAGCACCAAGTGGAAGCCTGGTGCTCGGTGCGGCGTCATCTGCGTCGTGGCCCACTTCTGTCGGCGTCCGACATGGACCCCTCCATGATCAACAGCAATCTCGAAGCATCCAGGTTTCCCAACAGCCCATTACAAGCATTTCCAGGAAGAAACATAACCTTACGAGGCACCTGAGATACAACTTGAACTTTCGCTACGCAGCAAGCAGTCGCCATGTCTGCGCCAGCCGAGACGGTGAGGTCCCAGTCTATATTCATTCAACCTCTGTGGCACTAACGATAGTCTGGTCGTACTAGGACAAGAACACTTCCCCTGGTGCTCCTGAATCACCCACTACAGCTCGTCCCCTCGAAATGGACGACGATGATGTTCAAGACTCGGGTATTGTTGGAGATGATGCCTCCAAGACCACACCCGCAGCGGCCAGCACCACAGCCGCAACAAGCGACGAGACGCCTCCGACGAAACCCCCTCGCCCTCTGACTGAGGCGCAGAAGAACGAAGCCATCCTAAAGGAGGCATTCCCTGGAATCGACGCGACTGTCATCAGGGCTGTTCTCACTGCCAGCCGCGGGCAGATTGATCCAGCTTTCAACGCCTTGCTCGGTATGTTACTGGTCCAATAGAAAGACATCCACAGAAGACATGGTCTGACAGCAGTTTCACAGAGATGACGGATCCCGATGCGGCTCAGAGGGAGCCCAGTGAGGAGGCTCCGCCTCCTCAGCCCCCGCGCCCGTCTGGCCCAGCCCACACTATGTCGCAACTCGAGTCGGACGAGCTATATGCCCGCCAACTCGCAGAGCAATACAACGCTGGGGCATATGAACAACGAACCTCGAGCCGCGGCCAGCCCAGACAGCGCCAGCAGACGGGACTCAAGCCAAACGAGCTTCATGATAAGGAGCACAACTTTTTCGAGGATGACCTGCCGGTCATCCAGGAAAGACTGAAGCAGGGCTTCGTGGAGACTCAAGGCAAGGTTAACTCCTGGATCACCACACTGAAGAAAAGGATCGACGAGGAGTTTGCCGAGAGCGACGAGCCTACACGACCCCAGCGACCTGGCCATGAGCAGTTTCCCGGGCCACGACCTGGGCAAGCCAGCCGCAGGAGTGGAGATTACGAGCGCTACGATGCAGACCCTCAAGTGCTGAGCGACGACTTTGCGGGTATGAAGTTCTCCGCCGATGGCAGTGAGTATTGCCAGCCACAATGTAACTCATGAGTTTCTTGTTGACATCCAATTCAGCGCCCGTCCGCGGCAACAGGCAGCAGGTATCGAGTCCAGATCTGTTCCGACCGCCGCCACCCTCCAAGTCTCCCAGGTCGTCGGACGGCAGGAAGGTCGCCTTCAGGGATGGAGGCGATGACGATGTGTATGGCGTCTCCCCCAAGCTGTCTGCAGAAGACAACAATAAGCCAAAGGCCAGCAAGTGGCAGCCTCTGTCGACGGTTGACCCCAGCCCCATCACGGACAACGACCCATTCAGTCTAGGTGACAGTGAGGACGAGCGCGACGCCAAGGACAAGTCAGGCTCGAAGGACATCAAGCTTGACGATAATGAGCGGCTGAAGCTCGCCGCTGCCGAGGCCATGTCCGACAGTCTTGTTGACTCGAACAAGAAGGATGAGACGTCCACGGCTGCAGCAGGCGTGGATGCTGCAAAGAAGGTCTAGCCTTGACGTGTTGTCGGCTTATGGTCGGATGTTGTTTCTCGGATGGTGTTTCTCTCATGTCGTGCAACGTCACAGACAACAGGCATTTGCGCAGGCGGGCGTTCGGGAGGTCACCTATCTTCAGGTCATGTTCAAGAGTGATTCTCAATACCAGATTGACCAGATCTACAACATCGCCTCGAATTTTCTTCCTCTTTTACCTCGATGCCCGCTCTTGACTGAATGAGATGACTCGCAGCGGGATTCACATCAAGGCTATCCACTGTGGTGGTTGCCAAAGGATTTGCTTACCAGATGGGAACAACGGGTCCGAAAAAGGCTCAATGAACGGATCAGAATAGGGCGATCTGCCGGGCTACTTGTAAGTCTACTGGACTTCAGGCTGGGCTTGAGCACAGCAAGTCAAAGCATACGTCACTAGAATCGTCGACCTGTTCCGGCCGCATGAATTGACTGATGTGATTACATCATGCTCAGCCAACCAATACCCCTCATATCCCGACTCGCAGTAGACGCGAGCCCAGCATCGGCCTCGACACTGCAAACTGCTTTCTGCTTCAGTCAAGTGGGCACGTGGCCATGTTTCTGGCATTCGAGAGCTGGTTGCTGCAGGTTGAGTAGCGCAAGACCGTTTAGGAGGAGGGGTCCAGTGGGTGGTTAACGAGGGATATCTCAGCCTCGTACTTGGCGTGAGAATGGGGGGAAAAACGTGGTCCGATTGCAAGGTTTGATTGGACAGAAGTTAAGTCTTGGCTAGATCGGTGGTAGGTGCACCAGGCGAGCTCATGTTGGTGACAGCTACCCAGGGAGCTTGGAGGGTCCCGATGGTACATTGTCGGTGGCTAAAAAGAGGTAGCACGCGACGGAGATCGTGTCCAGGAGGCTTAACTACGTACCTTATCTACCACAAGGTACCTGTCCAGGACACAGTCTCTGGGTTGCTTAAGAGAACGACAGCTGGCTCGGACCCTGGGCGTGACGCCCGAGACTGGTGACAGGCAACAGTAACCTTAAATCTTTTTTCAGCCTCACGTGTCTCGATCGGCAGAGATGCGTTTGAGCGCCGAGCCGACGTCAGACAGGCTGCTTGACTCGAGGCCATGGTGTCCCTGAAAGGTGCTGGCAGGTACCAGTCTATATGGAGGCCTCGCTGAAGAAAGACGTACTCCAAAGTCACTCGTCGAGGTTGGTGCCGTGGTGGGGCAGCTATGCAGTAAGTATATATAAGTACCTCCGGGCAGCAGGGCAGGCACCTGAGTACCCCGCATCACCAGCGCTAGCAGGGTTTCTCACTGTGGCCCTCTGCAGCTTGCGGCAAGTTCTGTATCGATTTCTACCCCTCGGCCTCGGAGGGCCCTCCCATCGCGACCACCACCAGACCAATCCTTGCTCTATTGTCTCGGCCAGCTTCGTCTTTCCAGCCAGAGTCTGCCCGTCAGGACCCCATCCAGTCCATCATTCCACCCGCCCGTCTGAAGAGGAAATAGACAGGGACGCGGCCGCCCCGCAGTAGTCTGGCTACAACACGGCACCACGGCACTACGGCATCTCAACGACATCCTGGGACATGCTTCTCTCACTCCGCCATATCTGAGATGCCCTGCTAGCTTCTCTCCTCGTTACTTGGCTGAAGACATGACCGTCGTGACCTGCCCTGTTACGTCCTCGCCGGAGCATCACGATTTACCCTTCATCTAATCTACGACATCACGCGTACCACCTGCCATCCTTCAGCTTCAATCACGAATCTCGAACCTGTTTATTTCTTCGAATCTTCAAACGCGCCCTTCGGCAACAGGTAGGTTCATGCCCACCATTCCGTCTCAGTCACGTCTGGTTGCGTACAACAAGAACCGTCGTCCACAACTGCTGTCCTCTTTCTCCGCTCCATATCCATTGGGCTTCGACATCGGCGGTTACTACATCGACACGCCGAGGTGCATGCCGCTTCAGTCCTCACGACCCCCACATCCTCCGGCCAGAGCCCAGATCATCCATGTTCCTCCTTACCTGTGCCAGCCATGCCAGCGGTTCAAAAACCAGGGTCTGGAGATGGTGGGACTCTCATGCAGCTCCTCGGTCTGGTCCAGCCGGCCAGCCCTTCGCCTGCGTTGATCGGTCGAGTGACCTTCAGCTCGGGTGTCAGCAGCTTACCTGAAGGTTCCCCCATCCACCGCACTACTTCTCCTTCATCTATCTTGCCCTGAATCACCAGAGACCACGCCCACGTGCTACGGGCGTCTCAGTGATACCTTGTCCAGCCCCGAGCCATCTTCTTGAGAGACGACGTCAGTCCTTCAGGGACACGTTCTCGCTGCACGACCTGGCTCTGTTGCTAATACCCACCAGGACTTACAGTATTCTCTACCTTGCTTCGTCGTCCCGTTGCTCTACCTTTCACCCTCGTCTGGTGTTCGGGAAGCTCGCTCATCGTTTCTGTTGAGCTTCAACGTCATTTGTCAAACCACTCCCGCCAACCGTCCGGAGCGCCGTGCGTCTCTGACACCGGCACATCATGTAAGCGATGCTTTTGTGACCTGTAGCGGCTGTGCCGACATGAATCTGATAGGCTCCTGCAGGAAGTTCGGCAAGCAAATCCAGAAGCGCCAGCTGGAGGTCCCAGAATATGCCGCCAGCTTTGTCAACTACAAAGCCCTGAAGAAGGTACGTGCTCCCTCCCCACGCTCGATCCCAAACCCGCCTCGGCAGGTGCCTGTTCGGTTGCAGGAAGTGTCAGAGAGGATTGGTCTATACCGTCCGATCAAATCAGGACGCCCATCCCTTGAGCGTGGGTCTTGGAACCCCCGCATACACCCACGGCAGATGCCCAGGATGAACGTCTCACTGACCCTACACATTGCCTAGCTGATCAAAAGGCTTTCGGCCACCCCCATACTCAGCGCTCAGAATGACATTCACCGGAGCATCCCTGTGGATTCGCAAGCAGCTCTTCAGGCCAACAAAGCCACATTTTTCTTTCAACTGGTACGTCACCGATGACGGCTTGGCGCAATGAACGTACTTTCGGCTTTACTTACTCGCGACCAGGAACGAGAGCTCGAGAAAGTTAATGCTTTCTACTTGCAAAAAGAGGCCGAGGTAAGATGGTATTGCGTGTATCACGTTGTAAGGTGCTGAGCATCGATTCTAGCTCAAAGTTCGCCTGAGAACGCTCCTCGACAAGAAGAAGGTTCTGCAATCGCGGGGCCAGGGTTTTCCTCGTCGCTCTACCAAGTTTACCACACTCGAGGAGGGGTTTCAACAATTTGCCAGCGATCTGAACAAGCTGCAACAATTTGTTGAGATCAATGGCACCGCCTTCTCAAAGATCTTGAAAAAGTGGGACAAGACGAGCAAGTCAAAGACCAAGGAACTCTATCTTTCAAGAGCAGTAGAGGTTCAGCCCTTCTTCAACGCTACAGTGATCAGCGAACTTTCCGACCAGGCAACAACCAGTTTGCAAGAAATTGGAGCTTGGTCTGAGGGCGATCATGTCACCTTTGAAGCCCGGACAGATCACCTGGTCAGCAGCCAGCACTTGCTGGGCACCGACGAAGGCGATGCAGATATATTCTTACTCGACACTGTGGTGTCTGGTAACCTTGAGGCATTAAAGGACCTGCTCTTGCGGATGCAAACTGCGTCAGCCGCCGCAGGTGATGGATCCAACGTGACTTTGATGGAGCGAGTCACCCGAACATTCCTCGCAGCGATTCACGATGGACCAAAGGAGTCTCTCCACCTTCTTCTCGGAACCGGCCTTGTTGACATTCAATCCGAAGATGACATCAATGAGCGTAACTGTCTTCACCAGGCTGCCATCTACGGCAAGTCATATGTTCTCGAGTATGGACTGTCAAAGGGAGTGTCCGTCAACCGCACAGATGTATACGGTCGAGTACCTCTCCACTACGCCTGTATGCATGGACGTCTTGACATGCTTGATGCTTTGCTTAGTGGTAAGTTCTGCTGCCTTGAAATGAGATAGCAAAACTGATGGTTCCTTAGGAGACGCCCAAACAAAAGACTTGATAGATCACGACAACTTCACGCCTCTGATTCATGCCATCATCCACGGCCACCTGCAATGCGTCCAGAGGCTACTCGAAAAGTCAGCTCGCCTCGACCCCGTCTCGGACGCTGACCACGTGCCTCTGAACCTTGCCTGCGAACACGGCTCGTTGGAGATTGTTGCACTCTTGTTGCAGCATGGTGCTAAGATTCTTCCTGACGCCGAGGGACTCTACCCTCACCACCTGGTGGCCCGATCGGGACAGACCCCACAGCTTCTCTTGCTGTTGAAGCAGCACGGCGCTGACCTAGATCAAGTGGACAAACTGTACGGCTGGACACCGCTCGTGCACGCAGCGAGCGAGGGCAATGTGCCGTGTCTGCAGGCGCTTCTTGACGTTGGTGCTGATCCCAGCATCTTGGACGAGAAGGACCTACCTGCGATGTACTATGCAGCATGGGAAGGCCATCTGGAGTGCATGAGGCTGCTCGCACCGTTTAACAAACAGACGCGGGAGAGCCCACTCTTGCTTCAGCCTGCCTCTTCGTTGATCCCTCCAATGATGAGCAGCAGCGGTCCAGACGCCATGGTACTCGACCCCGATGCGATACCAGAGCTCGAGCTTCCCCCTCCGATCATCCCCCTCCGTCGCTACGGACACAATTTCCTTGACACTAAGACTGTCGTACAAATCAACTTTGAGGAGAATGGAGAACAACCACTCGTATTCTTCCACGATGGGAAATACCCTGCTGCTCGACTCACTATTTCATCTAAAATGTTCGATCTCATTCCGAAAAATATCATGCTTCCTTTCCAAGAAGATACCCGGCTCGCCTCCTTCCAGATCGACAATCTGGATAACTTTACGCTCGACTTCGATGTATTCCCAACGTACGGCGCCAAAATTATCGCCAAGACGGTCGCTCTGCCGAATACTTTTAAGGCTCTCTTGAGCAGCTCTGGGAAATGCTGCTTGCCACTATTTGATCCAAGGCTGCGGGCGATCGGCCAAATCAGCTTCCACGTCCAGGTCATCAAGCCCTTCAACGGAAAGCCCCTAGAGATCACCGACTTTGAGACATACTGGAAGGCAACAAGTCAATTCGACAGGAGTCCCAGCACGTTCATTACCGGTTCGAGCCTATCTGGCGACTTTGTGCGAGTCTTCGTCCAACATACCAGCGACGGTGTACCCGTGCTCTGGCCCAGATGGACAATACCGTGTGGCGGCATCGACCTACCAGTATGTCGCTTGACTGCGGATCAGTTCACCACCATCACAGCTCGAAGCCCAAGTCGAGCAGAGCTCTCTACGTTGCGTACTAAGTCGATGGACGGTATCGCCGACATTCACCGAATCCTTGCGACAGCGGGTGTTCCCTTGGATGAAGCCCTGTCGCTGCTTCCTCACGGCATGCATGTCAACATCCAAGTCCTCTACCCGACGACAGAGGATGAAAAGGCGTTTGGACTCGGGTCCACCTTGGACATGAACAGCTTTGTCGACGCTATCCTGACGATTGTCTTCGATCACGCCCGTGCGCAGCGTGCGCAATCTCTCGAGTCTGTCCGCTCCGTCGTCTTCAGCTCCTACAATACCAACCTATGTGCTGCACTTAACTGGAAGCAGCCTAACTTCCCCGTCTTCCTGTGCAATGACCTGGGGCGGGAGGAGCCCATGGCGGCACCTGATGTCATCCAGAGCCACGGGCGGCGATCTACGTCCATCAAGGAAGCGGTCAGGGTCGCGCAAAGCAACAACTTCATGGGCCTCATTTGCTGCTCGCGTCTCTTGGTACGTGCTCAACACATCTTATGTGACACATGCAAGCTAACTTGATATAGGACATGCTTCCAGCACTCGTAGAGGCGATCAAGTCACACGGGCTTGTGCTCGTGACCGACAAGTCGTCGGAAGCTACGTCGGCAGTAAACTCCATGGCTGATCCATTTCCAAAGCTGCCCAAAGGTATAGACGGCGTGCTAAAGGGGCATAGTATCCTGCGATTCAATGAGTCGATTGATATGGAGTGATCATGAGCTTACTGCGTGAGCCTTCCCGCGGGTTGATAAGCGAGGTGATTGTGAAATAGACCACTGGTACGGAGTTGGAATGGACGACACCTGCCGTCTCGGAGGGAGGCATGAAATGGCACAAGATAGTCACGTTTTGACAATTAATCTTTCTTCGCGAATCGTCGCGTTCTTTTGCATGCTCCTCGAACCCCTGCTTCAACTTTCCATTGCCAGACTGCATCACGCCCCTTTGTAATCATACTTCAACGCGCTCAGTTCGCCTTCGGGGTCGACGCTTCCCATGACCACCTTGGCGATGAGAACAACAGTGTAGACGACCGCCGGCCAGTACCCCAACAACCCGCTCTCCTTGCCCCTCGAGAAAGCCCCTGCGAGTGCGACGACGGCACAGAGACCCATATTCAAGAGCGGCAGGTATGTGTCGAGCGGCCCTCCCTCACTCAGCACGAACGGTGCCGCGCCACGCCTCTGCCTCTCGCGCCGCGCGGCCGCGGGACGGAGCCAGTCGTCCACAGCACACGAAGGCCGGTCTTATCGGGCTGTTGGCTGTAGG